GTTTGTTGGGGAAATTTGCGGAATCAGCCGAATCCAAGTTGCGGCGCCTACTACAAGGTGGAGATACTACGGGTATGAAGCCGTCGGAAATACTTTCGAACATGAGACGTCTTGCACCGGATCCAAATAGCGAACAAATTATTCGTACGCTTTTTCTCAGCGAAATGCCCAAATTGATTCGTCCGGTATTGGCAATTTGGGAAGAGGATGATCTAAATAAACTTGCCAAGTTAGCTGATAAGATGCTGGAGGCTTCAACAACAAACGCAATGTATATGTATGAAGTATCGCCACAGGCTAGGCAGGCCACGACAACTGTGTGCAGCACAGCACATAATGATTTGTACACAGCTGTTCAACAACTGACCGACCAGGTTAAAAAGCTGCAAGTTGAAGTTAGCCAACTCAGGAAACCAATCACGAGTCGCAACGGTTCTCGATCGCGCTCACCCAAAACTGTAAGTGATGTCAACGGTCAACAGCGACGTCATGGCAAATTGTGTTACTATCACACCAAGTTTGGGGACGGTGCCACCAAGTGCAAGCCAAGCCGCTTACGATGGGCACCTTTAAACTAAAAAAGCTGTCGTCATACACACTGGTTGACGGCAGTAGCAAACAACTTGACCACATAACCAGTGATTCATCAGTAGCAGAAAAACAACCACTCATAAATAGTGAACGTCTTTTTGTCGTCGATCGCAAATCATGTTTTCGTTTCTTGATTGACTCGAGCTCAGTTGTATCAGTAGTGCCACGGCATTTGGTGAAATTCAAAACAACACAAGGAGAGCTCCAACTATACGCAGCGAACCGAACTCTCATTACCACATTTGGCAACAACACAATGGAATTAGACCTAGGTTTACGGAGATCAATTAGGTGGCAATTTATCATCGCTGATGTCGAAGTTGCTATTATTGGTGCTGATTTCTTAAACCATTTTCATTTGTTAGTTGATCTAAGAAGCAAACAGCTTATAGACATGACGATGAAGCTTAACACACGAGGTGATCTTTCAGTTTCTCCGCCATCAACCATATCTACAATAGATGAGACAGCCAAGTTCAGCAATCTGCTCAAAGAATTCGTTGATATTACACGACCAGTGTTGAAACAGTCACTTCACGACACTCAAAAGCATGGGGTGACTCATCAAATTGAGACAAGAGGCAACATTGTATTTGATCGTCCCAGAAGGTTATCTGGACAGAAACTTGCTGTGGCAAAAGCCGAAATCATTCTATTACTGGACCAAGGTATTTGCCGTTTGTCAAAAAGTCCATGGGCAAGTCCCCTACACATGGTGGCGAAAAATAATGGTGGCTGGCGTGCTTGTGGCGACTATCGAAAATTGAACGCAATAACGATACCGGACAGGTATCCTATCGCTCATGTGCATGATTTTGCGGAAAAGTTACACAACAAAACGCTGTTTTCAGCACTCGACTTGGTGAAAGCATATTACCAAATCCCAATGGCAGAGGAAGACATTCAAAAAACTGCTGTGAGCACACCTTTTGGCCTGATTGAGTTCCAGTACATGCCGTTCGGATTGAAAAACGCGACGCAGACATTCCAACGTTTCATGGACCAGATTTTTCGAGGCCTTGATTTCGTGTATTGCTATATTGACGACATTCTCATAGCTTCAACGTCCATAGAGGAACATGAACGTCATCTCCGAACAGTGTTTACCATTTTGCGCCAACATAGACTCAGGATAAATGTCATTGTGAAAACTAAAGCGAAATAAAGGGTTGTTTCTTGCCGCTACTCTCTCTCTCTATCTTTCAAACATTGTACGCATAATTATACACATTCATTGTATATTTTAGTCGTTAATAAACTGTCAGCAGAAACTGACGCTAAAACCGGTGTTGTGTTATTTATTTATTAGTATTTTTTACATGGTGCCGAAACCGGGAGTCGGTTGAATTCTAATGGAAATTCTAGCGGGCTGATAGTTTAAAAAGAAAAAAAAGCGGTTAAAAAAAAAAGCGGTCGACTCTTAACAAAAAGAAACACGAGTGTAATTAATTACAAATTATTTATGTATTTATAAAAAAAAATGGAGGCAGCTAGCAGAGCGTCCTGTAGAACGCAGGGAACGAAAATATACAACACAGTGGATGCATATTTTAAGCAGGAAATACTGCAGGAGCCAGACGTGGCATCAAAGGAGTCAACTCTGAACATTTATTTATCTCGCATAAATAATGCGCATCAGAGATTGTTAAAAGCTGATGAAATCGTGCAAAGCAAAGTGACTCAAGAGGATTGGGCACAGGAATTTGAAACAGCGTTGGAGTATGACGATCGAGCAGTAGGTATAACTGCAAAAATTCAGTGTGAATTGAAAAGGATAAACAGCAATTCTTATGAAGAAGTATTGCGCAACGAAAATCCATCTAGAACAATCGTTAACAGTGAAACTAATATAAAATTGAAGCCTCTGGAGCTTAAGAAATTTGATGGAAATTTGGAAAATTGGATTCCATTCTGGGAACAATTTAAACAAGCAATTCATGAGAATTCGAAATTAGATGCAGCTTCAAAATTCAACTATTTAAGTGACTCACTGGTAGGCAAAGCAGCGGCAGCAATGACGGGATTTTTGCCGACAGAACGTTGTTATGATGACGCCATAGAATTACTCTTAGAAGAGTACGGCGATAGCGACAAAATTGTAGACAAGTACATACAAAAGTTGCTAAACATAAGAGCCATCAACTCAGCGAGCGACGTAAAGAGTTTAAAAATTTTATACAACGAAGTAAGAGCAACGATGAGAACTCTGTCAGCATTATGTATTTCACCAACTCAGTATAACATCATGGTGCACTCAATATTGTTAAAGGCATTGCCAGTAAGCATGAGAATAAATTTCTATAAAACGCAAAAGGGAAGTTCACATTCAACTAACGCAAGTCGCACCAGACTAAACGAAAGTGAGCGAGCACTAGAGCAAAATTGCGACAATTTAGAAGCTCTCTTGGAATACATAAAAGTTGATATTGAAGCATTAGAAACAGCTCAAATAGTTGAGAGAGATAATAAGAAATTTGAAGAGAAAAGAATATCGGAACATAAACCAAGGGGTACAGCTGTTGGTTTGCATGCTAGTTATGTAGCAAATCAAATTAAGTGTGTGTTTTGCAAAAATAGCACTCATGCTACAAAAAATTGCAAAAAAAATATGTCTGTTGAACATAGAAAAAAAATTCTTAAGGTAGAAGGTAGATGCTTTAGATGCACAAATAAAAATCACAATGCAAAGTTCTGTAAAAACCAATGGTTAAAGTGTACAATATGTAACGGTAGACATTTAACAATAATGTGCGAGAAAAAACATTTGAAAGAGAACCGAAAAATTCAAGAGAATGAGAGTTCTGATAAAACGAATATTGTGGAGCAAGTAATTGGAAATAAGCAAATGACATCATCACTAAATGCTATGAAAGCAGAGGATAATCAAATTTACTTGCAAACAGTAAAGGCCATTATTGTAAACAAAAACAATAATACTGAAGTTTTGTCACGTTGCATTATGGACAACGGTAGTCAACGAACATACATAACTGAAGAGCTTGTCAACAATTTAAATATGCCTGTAATTGGTTATGAAGAATTTAAAATCTTAGGATTCGGCGAATTGAATGAAAATAAGTCTGCTAAGCGTTTTAAGCAAGTGCTTTTTCATATAAAGAGCCAGTATTATGACAAGGACATTGAAATAAGTGCAACTGTCGTTCCACAAATTTGTTCAGATTTTCTGCCTGTACCAAATGTACAAGGTAAGAAATACAAATTTATTGAAAATAAACTCGCAGAAAAAATCATCGTATCGAAACAAATATTGTCAGGAATTAATTTGTTGATTGGGCAAGACAACTATTGGATTTTTAATACACATAAAGTAAAACGAATAACAGATAGTTTAACAGATAGTTTAACAGCAGTGGATACGTATTTTGGTTGGACAATTCAGGGCGGCAAGGGAACCAAAAATTGCGTAAATTACAATTTTAATATTATTGAGACTGATAAAGATTTCAATTTAACAAAATTTTGGGACTTAGAAGCAATAGGAATTATTAATAATGATGATACAGCTATATCAAATACAGTTACTAGCATAAAAAAGATTGATGGTCGTTATACAATTAATTTGCCTTGGAAATTAGAAAAATCTAAATTAAATAACAACAAAATTAATGCCGAAAGTGTAAGCATATATGCAACAGTGCAATTAAGTACCAAAATGTAAGCATAAATGCAACAGTGCAATTAAGTACTAAAATGTTATACTAAAACTTCATATTACAATTGTTATCTTAGTTATAAGTTTTCTCTTTAATAAAAGTCTTTGAAGAAAACGGTCGTGTGCGGAACTTAGCTGGTATATCTAACAAGGGTTATGGGCCCAGGCACCCACGTGTTTTTCAGTCAATTTGTTTTTTCATTAAAGAGCGTATTTTCGTAAAAAGTGGATTTTTTTTTAAAAAAAAAAATAATAAAAGGTAAATAAAATGTCGTGTTATTGGAGTGCGATAGATCAAATTAAAGAAAAGGAAACTGTGGAATCAAGTGTTACTGACCAGAAGGCATTGGCTACAATATTGTTGTGCGTGAAAACATCGGAATTGGTACACATAAAAAATTGTAAAACTTCGAAAGAAGCATGGCAAGTACTGAGTGACATTTATAAGACAGGACGCCCTTCACGAAAGGTGGCTTTATTTAAAAGTTTAGTTCGATTTAAGATTGATAAAAATGAGAAATTCGCTTTGCAGCTTAATCGGTTTAGCACTATAATAGAAGATCTCAATGAAATCGGGGTAATTTTATCTGACGATTTGCTTTTAATCATGCTCCTATGTAGTCTTCCAGACGATATGGATAGTTTTGTTGTTGCGCTAGAAACGCGAGACTCGTTGCCAACAGTAAAACAATTAATATCCAAAATTTTAGACGAAGAGAGAAGGCAAAGTGAAAAACACAATATTGAGAGTGAGACCGTATTAGCAATAAAATCTCGCGGTGAAAACATGAGTAAAAGTACTTATTCAGGTAAAAGAAATATACAACAAAAGATAATGTCAAGTGTTATGCATGCGGAAAAAGAGGCCATATTCGGGCTCAATGCAGAACAATTAAAAGCTCGCAAAAATACGCATTTAATATTACAGAGTTTAAAAACCAAAACAAAACAAATAATTGGATTCTAGATAGCGGTGCGACATCGCACATGTGTAAAGAAAAAAACTATTTTTTATCCATGCAAGAAAACATAAACAATGTGACATTAGCTACTGGTCAATTAGTCAGTGCAAAAGGTATTGGAAACATAAAAACTATTATTAATGAGCGTGAAATATTGTTTAAAAATGTTTTATATGTGCCCGGCTTACACTCTAATTTTATTTCGGTGTCGAAAATTATAAAAAACGGCTTTGTTGTAAATTTTTCACGAAATAAAGCAAATGTAATAACAAACCAAGGTGAAAAAATGTTCACAGCAACTGAATGTAATGGAACATTCTGTGTAAATGTTAAAGTAAATATAAACAAAGAGAGTCCAAACGCGATTAGTGAGAAAGACAATGACTTTATTATTTGGCACAAAAGATATGGACATTTGAATGTAAAAGACTTGTCCAGTTTATCAAGTAAAGAATTAGTGCGCGGTAAGAAATTAAACACACCTCGTGATTTTCAATGTTCCACATGTGCAATGTGCAAGATGAGTTCTAAACCGTACTATGCTAAATCAGTTGTCACAACGAAAGGCGTGCTGGAGTTAATTCACACGGATATTTGTGGTCCAATGCAAGTGAGTTCTTTAGGAGGCAGCGCATACTTCATCACGTTCATTGATGATTTCTCAAGGTATTGTAATGTATATGCGTTAGTTATATTGGCAATGCATACAATTAATATAATAATAAGTGGTTCTATATTTAAATGCGCAGTGTATACAAAAATACACTAATTGTTTCCAAGCGCATTGCATTGTTTACAAACAAATGCACAATTCCACACAAGGAATTTGACACCACACATATCGGCGGCACTTTGCCTTCGATATAACCATATGCTTGCCAGGCATTGACCGCATATACAACAACATCAACAGTAAGCGTACTCGATACAAGTGGAATCGAATACGCTCGATACTCGATACAAGTGGAATCGAATACGCTTACTTAGCAATAAATTATTAAATATTAAAATACTTACGCTGCGTCGTTTTGTACATAAATATAAATACATATTAATATAAATAATATTAAATACATATATAATCATAAAATATTTAGTAAATAAGAAAGTACATACGCTGCGTCGTTATGTACCTAGGTTAAGTTGAAAGTGAAAAACTAAATAAAAATCAGAACTGGAAGTGCACTCAATAGAAGCGCACTGGGTTCCAAACCAAAAATCAACTTTCTTTGATTTAAAATAATTAAAAATTGATGTTAGTAAAAGGATCGCCAAATTATATCGGCGTTTAAAATATCCTTTGATAACTATACCATATTGAAAACTAACATCAGTAATTCACATATATTACATGGCGACCGTGACTTTGGTGCAGGACTAATGTGATTATTTTAAAAAAAAAATATATATATATATATAAAATATTAAAATAAAAATAGCACATGTCCAATGCACCAGGGCCAAAACGTCTCACAATCGAGGAATATCGTGCCAGACAACAACGGCACCTAGAAGCGAAGCTTACAACTATACCGGCAATACCCAAACCCAAAAAGAGGGGTGGCGTACTGGTGCAAGAGCGGAAGAAAATAGCAGCTTTGAAGGCTTCCTTGTATACAGAACCACCACCATCGTGGGAAATCGCAAGTAAAATATGGCAACAAATTGACAAAATTATACAAGCTAGGCACAGCAGACAGTTACAAAAACGAAGAGCTGTACAGGAGAAATAAGTATAATTCCTTTTATTTATATTTTTTTTATAATTGTAATGGAACTTGCTCTATCAAATTAAAGAGCAAACCAATAGAGGCACAACATGGCGTTAAGCCGTTGCCAAAAACCATAGGTAGGGATAATGTAAATCTTATATTACTTTGATTATTGTTTTGATACATAAATAAAAAAAAAATCTTTAAAAAAAATAAATGTTTTAAATTAAAAAAATTATATATATATTTTGCATTAAAAATTATAACATATTATAAAGTATGTTTTGAATGAAAAAAAAAAAAAAACAAATTTTTTTTTAATTGTTTAATCACTACGGTATCTCTTTGATTTTTTTTCCTTGTCTCTCTCTACTGTTGATATTCTTTTTCACTGTTGTTTCTTATTTTACAATGGGGAGTCCTCAATCGAAAATAAATAAACCTGTAGCTAACGTAGTAAACGAAATAGAAGTTGATAGAAAAGAATCTTACGACCCAACAAAATTTTTCGTAATAATAATTATTTTGCTTAGTGCAAACTTAGCTCTTAAACTGTATAAGGCTCATTGTAGATCCCTTAAGAAAAATTTTGTAAAAACTGCAAATATCGCTATTGTATTAGAAAAAATATAAATAATTAGATAGGCAGCACGTAAATCAACATTTCTCAAAATATTCTTAAATTACTTAGATTCGTCAAAATGAAAACTTTTAACTGCTTTGTATGTGGCAAAAGCTGCAAAACTAAACAGAAATTAGACAATCATTTGAAGAACATAATAAAATAATTAACTATGCGAATGAAATAGTTAGAAAAATTTTTCATTAAATCAATCAACAAAATTCTTTAACTCTTATGGATAAATGGTCTCAAACAGAAGAATTTCTAAGAACAGAAAAAGAAAATTTCAACAAGGCATACAAGTGTATAAACAAAAATACGTTTATCAGATCAGAAACTCTGAGAAAACACTTATTGACCTTAGTTAATAGTTTAGAGAATATCAGAACTATATATATAAACTATAGCCATAGATTAACAGAAAGCCATAAAAGAATTGTTAACTCTGTATTTTGGGAAACCAGAGACAGGTTAATAAACATTTATTCTAAATATAAAATAGAGGAAAAAATTCCACATAACTTAGATGAACCAATACAGCTCGATATACATAGACTGTTTGTCACAGAAGATAGTGACATATTAATACCAATTGAAGAAGCAAATAGCGAAATTGAAAATTTATCAGAAATAGAAAAATACCACGTTACAAATATGGCACAATCAGCTGACCAATTTATTAGTACAGCGTCACGACTCATTCCTGAGTATGACGGAACTGCATCCAATCTACAAAGTTTCCTTGACGGTATCGAAATGGTCGAATTAAAAGGAGAACATGAAAGATTGGCAGTTACTTTAATAAAAACTAAATTAAAAGGTACAGCTAGGACAATAATAACCACCGAAAACTCGATATTAGCCATAATAAATACTTTAAAAACAAATATCAAAGGAGAATCGGTTGCAGTCTTAACTGCTAAATTAATGAATCTCCAACAGAAGAACAAAACTGCCAACCAATATACTAAAGAGGTTGAGCAATTAACTAAAGCAATTCAAGGTGCTTACATTTCGGATGGGATACCACCAAAAATAGCTATACAATATTCAACTAAGGCATCTGTAGATGCAATGGTTAAAAATTGTACACTTCCTGAAGTCAGACTAATTATGAAGTCAGGCCAATTCAATAATTTGAACGATGCGGTACAAAAATTTGTAGAAAGCTGCACGGATGCTACTGGCCGTACAGACACTGTTCTATTTACACAGCGTCAAAATATAAATAATTATCGCGAAAACAATCTCGTGAATGGAAATTTTAGAGGTAGAGGATACTACCGAAATAATAACTACAATAGGCAGAGACAATACAATAACTCTAATCAATATGGAAATCAACGAGGACGCGGAAATAACCGCAGGATCCAACATAATGTTAGAATAACTAGTTCTAATGATGGTACTAACCAAAACAATATTGGTTCGGAAAACCTGAACCAGCCTCTGAGAGATTAAAACATAACACAATATATAGCTTAAACCTTAACCTGGGCGTGTTTGTTAATTTTTTTAATAATGCCACTAATAAATTACTAACCCTATTAGTAGATACAGGAGTAGACGTCTCTCTACTAAAAATCGCAAATGTAGATAAAT